TTTGTTAACCAACGACGTGCTATCACCAGATACTCCTGACACCCATCAGGCCTTACGGAAAAAACATTCCCCAGCTCCAGTAAACCCATATTTTCTCGACCCACCAACAGCAGGGCAAGCATGCCTTCAAATTCAATACAAAGATGTTACGGAGGCCATTTTATCTTTTAAACCAGGTTCGGCTGCAGGTTTGGATGGAATCTCACCTCAACATTTGAAAGGTTTAACATCGCATTCTGTGGGTAACGCAGGCGAGAAACTTGTAAATTCGATTACTAAATTAATCAACTTGCTGTGTGATCGACACTACGACGTCTGGTCTCCAAAATTGCTGTTCGACATATTTTACCAAAATTAAATTCGAAATTTAAACCCGTACAGTTAGGCTTCAAAAATACATTCAATTCAGTAAATAGGGATACCCTGCTGACGGAAATAAAACAAAATATACAATTATCTTCTTCTCAGTTACTCACACCCAACAAAATTGTTATATCGTTCTAATGAACTGTTCTCGGAAGTAGGTTATCAACAGGGTGATCCCCTTGGTCCTGCAATTTTTAGTTTGGCTATAAATCCGATAATCAAAAATTTAAATTCTAAATTCAACGTTTGGTATTTGGACGACGGAACCCTAGATAAATTTGAAGCCATTGGTTTGGAGCTTGATTTTAGCAAATGTAACTTTTTATTAATAACTACGACTTAAATTTAAATGACGTTAAACTAAAATTTAATATTTTTGCTCCAAATATTAAAATAGTAAAGTTAGTAATATTAGGATTTGGTTGTTGAAATATAGCATTTTTCCATATAAAAAAATCTCAGAATATATCAAAATTATTGCTTATGTCATTATGCAATTCAAATAGTCTGGCCAAAGTACACTGCGTTTGAGACTAATTACTTCGATCGACCATACGCTATTCACCATTAAGACGAGTGGGATCTTTCATCTCGCGTAAAATTACTTCTCTGCGATGCGTTACCATATCATTTGATCACTTCTTTTTTTTATGTTACTAAAGTTAAAATCATTAATGAAAATTAGGCAAGGCAAAGTACATTTTACGCTTAATATGGAGCGTACATGTGGTGAGAGAGTAAAATACCTACCCTTTGGTGGTGTTATGTTTTTATTGGTGCGTAAAGTTTAAGCTTTACGGGGTCCCTACCCTTCTCGCTCACCCCGTGAATTGGGTTCAAGCTGGCTGTGCCGGCTTAAGCGTCACATTTTTCTGCCGTTTAGCCATCTTCGCAGCTGAGCTCCATTTACACTTACCAGTGGTGGTGTTACACACACAAATAATAAATAGTTAAATATTGATTGATTTAGTTAAAAATTAATTATTGATTTAATATTGGTGTCTATTTTATTGCTAAGCGTATGTGCATTTTTTGCTTGAAGCGATTTTTTACTAAAGTTAATTTTAATGCTACATTATCATAATAATAAGCGTGTTCAAAAACTTTCTCTTACTTTCCTTGTAATTTGTAAATATAAAAAAAAAGCTTTATGCACATGATGTGCATAAAGCTTTTTTTCAAAGATGTCAAAGATGAATCTGAAAGAATAGTTCGAATAATCACAAGTTATTTCTTTTTCCTAACTATTAAAAATATCACATATATTTATCCTTATTGACGTTTCACATTAAAACATAATTTATAATATGTGTGTAATTCATAAACTATATATATGTTGCTAATTTTATAGCTATTAATGGAATTGACACTGTTGCAAGCGCCATGATCACGGAGTTACTCATTGCACTACTACACATGGCGCTTGCAACAGTGCCGAAATATCGGACTCAAAAAAAACAAGGTACATGGTAACAATCCCGTTAATAGCTATAATGTTAGTGACCATGAAAGTTTAAAACAATATTGTTGCTAATTGTCATACATTTATGTATTAAATTGTACACTGTGCTTTAATATTATCGATTGGCTTATTAAACAGTGCAGCTAGGCTATATCGCTAACTTATCTAGGTGCGATAAGATTGAATTGTTAATTTGCAAACAGCGAATGTAATGAATCATCCGATCGTGTAATCGAGGCTTTGTAAAACAAATTATGATTATATCGCTTGGCTATCATACACATATCTTTATTGTTTATTTTGTTCTTGAATACTTCAAATGAAAAAAAAAACAAGAGTGCTGCTTGACTTTAAGGAGGCTAAATTAAAAAGCACAGGACTAATGCGTACTAATATAATATATGCAATAGTCTATCTGTTTGTTTGTTACGTTATCACGACACTGCGACCTTCATGATTGAATGTATACATGACTAGTGGGTGGCCGCGACTTCGTCTGCGTGGGGAAATTTATTTCCATAGAAACTTTCATTTCCATTTTCACCCCCTTAAAGGTTGATTTCAGGGATAAATTATGTATATACTATTAAATAATATGTATATACTAATAAATATATAATATACTATTAAATGATTTTCCCTGAGACTCCAAATATCTCTATAACAAACTTCATCTAGACCGTATGGTGATTTGAGTATGAAGAGGTAACAAACAGACAGAAAGATAGGCAGAAAGATACACTTTCGCACTTATAATATTAGTATGGATTACACAGATAGGTTTTGTCGCGAAAGTAAAACTTGTAGGGGTTGAGATAGAAAATGAAAATGTGTATGGAAAATGTATTCTACGCAGGAAATGTCTCTGGCAACCACTACTAGGGGTTTTTTTTTATATCAAAAGGGTGGTAAATTAGCAGCTTGATTGTAAGCGGCGAACGTAGCCTATAGACGATTGTTAAAAATATATAGGCTATAATTAATGTTCTTTTGGGCAGTGCCGTCTTTGACCTATTGGAGGCCCTGGGCATATTAGGATAACGGGGCACCTACGGGGGTCCCGTTTGGTGATTTAACAGGAACTAGGGACTTTGTATTTGATCTGAGGGCGGCCCCTATCGATCGCGGTGCCCCGGGCACTTGCCCAAATTGTCCACTGGGAAAGAGGGGTCTGTTTTTGGGATCCTCTCAACTCCAAGATCAGTAAATTTCAATGGCTGGCAACCTTAACCAAAGCAAACCAATGGACAAATGCGCATAGTCATTATACGTTCCTGGTACGATTCCAGTCCCGTAAGGCATAAATGTATGATTTTAAATAAGGCCTATCTGATATTAAGTGTAAGTAGAGATTAAAATCTAGAAAGGCAAAGAGTGCCGCGCCAGTCGTCTTTACCTTGCCGGTCTGTAGATACACAAACCCTGATAACTTTACTCACCAACAGAAACATAATAAAACCAAATGATAGTGTTATTTTACTGTAGTCTGCTAAAAAGTTACTTAGACAGACCGCCTACCTCTTTTAAATGTATATTTGCAATGCTGCTCATATTTCTATTTTTTAGTCACTATGAAATCATCATGCAATGCCATTGCTCCTGTTTTTGTTGAGATAAAACTAGATTTATCCATTTTTTTCGATCCTAAAGCTGGCGTGAAACATCTGTTCTCTTCCACTCTCCTTGGCTGACTCACGTTGGCTTTGTCAGAATGGTTTATTTTCGTGTATGTATAATATTGTTTTAGCAAACGCTTCCTTTCGTTGGCCTATTATGTTGTTTACACGAAATTTATTGCACGCGAGATGTACAACGAACTTTCTCATTAACATATTTTCTAAGCGAATGATTAATTTGAAAATCCGCTGGATTCGTGATTTCTGAGTTGTTCACGCGAATAGTCTTTTATGTTAAGATAATAGCAAATAAGCATACGGTTCACCAAATCTAAATGTGCTTCATCATCTTCATCTTTTTATCAGAGAACGTCTCCTCGGGGATATCCTTTTCTCACCCTATTCCCACTGGAAGATGGAGCACTGAAAACCTTACTCACCTACTTTATAATGTTATATAAATCTTCGTTTATGTTAAAGGGCGGAAAACGAGCATTTAGCCTACCTGATGGTAATCGGTCAAAAAAGGGAAAGGTTATTGTAGCAAATATGGCGTCTTGTAGGCAGGTGACGTCACAAGAATCATTAAAACATAAAACAGTTCAAAGTAATGTCACTTCGACTGCATGTTTACAAGCTGGTGACGTCATTTTCACTCATCACGTAACAATACATCAAAAAATAATTTTTATATTTCATGATTTTTGATAATATTATCAACTACTTTTTTTTGTCTGAATAGTGAAATAGCATCCAATATTCATGTTAAATACACATGCCAATAATTGATACTTTATTTTCCATGTTGTCAAAAAGCCTATTAAATTTGTATTTTTGATTTGGTTGATTTTTAATCCTTAGTTAAAAATACCTTTGATACATTTTAATATAGGTACAAAATGCGATACCTAACCTTATCGCATTTTTTCGATAAAACTAAGAGTTGTGTTATAGTCGTTTATGTTAATTATGTTTAGTTTTGGTTGGGTACCTAATAATAATACTTATATTAATTTAGCAGATAAGTTTATTCCAATAATTAGAAACCATCAATTAAACTTTTTATGTGGCTTAAATTGTACACCAGTAAAACGATTCGGCTTTTAGAGATCCAATTTTAAGTTCTTGTACAGGCCTTATTGTTTTACTTGGAAACATGTTCGACTTAACCTTGCTATGCATAGGGTTCTTTCTTGAACGGTAAACATTCAGTGTAGAGGCGTTTAAGTTAACGAGAAGTGTCATTTGATCATTTTCTACGTCCGTTCGTTGGTATGAGATCAAACGCATCGTGAACATTCAAGTGAATTGATGCAATTCAGGGCAAACTGTTGAGAAACTTTCTGTATGTGGCTATTACTGCATCTATTTCACATAGTATGTCTAACTTAAGTGATTAGGATAATTAACGCTCCAGAGTAACTTCTCTGTTTAGAGTTAGTTTTAGTGTTACTGTTAATAAGTTAATAATAACTGTAATTAACTACGCTGACAAATGACAAAATTTCTTATTGTAATATGACTGTCCATAACTTATTTGAGGATTCTTACCGCAGGCAAAGTTGGCGAGTTCGTGGAAGGCGCAGGCTTTATTCAAGAAGTTCGATGCTCGCGCGAATCACAAGGTGTACGCGAAAGGAAGGGCCAGTACTGCCAGCAAGGTGCTGGTGATTGGGGCCGGTCCGTGTGGCTTACGCGCGGCCATAGAATGCCAGCTCTTAGGTGCTAAAGTGGTAAGTTCATCTCCTTCTTTTGCAACAAAACTATAAAAGGACATACGGTTGATGGTGACTCATGCGCCGGATCCTTTCAGTTGTATTGGACTCCATTTGCTCTAAATATCTATGGAATTACTTAAAAATAGTTTTTTGGGGCTATGTATTCCTCAATGAATTTGTAGTGGTCACTGTGATTAAAATAATATAAATGATCAATCTTGCCATCAGATTAAAACATGTATATCTTTTTAGTTCGATAGCGTAAAAAATATTTACATCGGCGCTGGTGTATGAGAAAAAATGTTAGCAAAAAATTTATTATTCATTTATAAATGTATCTTGAGTTTTGAATTATGTCTCAATAGATCTCGTACCATTAAATGGTACTTCTCTGGTGCCGACTTCACTAGATATCTTGAACTGGACAATCAAATTTTTTTAACTCGCATCGTAAAAAAAAATCTAGTTCGGTGAAAAAACTTAGGCTTGGAAGTAGGGATGCAATGATACGTCTATACCAATACGAATAAGTATATCGTAATGGCCCAATACGAAAAAGAATTACAAAACAAATTAATTACGATTTTTATTTGAGAGCTTTTTTTTTTGAGTTTATTTAAAACTTAGTTTGCAGATGCAGCCGGGACCAATGGCTTAACGTGCCTTCCGAAGTACGAAGGAGCTCGAGATAGTAAATTTTTGGTCACCCATCCAATGACCGACCACTGCGAAAGTTGCTTAACTTTAACGACCGCAGCCGAACGCGCTAACCACTTGCGCCATCGAGCTCCTCAGTCTGCATCAGTTGGTCTGTAAAAAAACCTAATTTCGAATTTTTAATGTAGGTATATAATTTTATAATTAAGTAATGTTTATTAATTGTTTCTCTTTTTTGTTAAATTTTCTACGTTAAAGCTGTCAATGTCAAACAAAAACAAAAAGAAAGTGTATGTTCAGACATTGACTCGTTAGGCATGCGTTTCGTTTTACTCGAAACTGTAGAACTACTGTAAAAGTGTAAAAATATTGGAAAAGAATTAATCGTATATATCGTATCGCAATGTTTACTATAACGAATGATCGTCAGAACTTACGAAAATCGCCGATTTACGATTATCGTATCAGAAAATTCCCAGCCGCAAAATATCGAATCATCCTAGAGGTCGTCTAGACGGAGGGCATATCCACACAGGGGCGCTGCGACATCTTTCATTTGTTTGTGTTCCACGGTTGCTTATACTAGATGTAAATTTGTCACCTAGATTTGCATAATTTTAGCCGCCTATAGCATTAGAATCTGAACAATATACAATAACAATATAAAATTATATAGGTATTATGCTTAATTCACACAAAAGTGAATGTTTGTTTTCGTAACTCAACTCACATGCGCTGGTTGGGCGCGTTTGAAATGTGATACGGTGTTAGTTTCAGGAAATAAAATATTCTCTCGTCTGGCTACTTAAATTACAAACAACGGAACAACATAAGTCGCACCATTACGCGATGACGCAAAACTGCAACACTATATACTTTCACGATTCAACATTTCTGAGTTGCGCAATTATGCTGAGTTTATTTAAGATTATATTAGCTACATTTCAGGCGTTTATAAATGACTCTGTTTTTTCAGTAGATGGTTTACTTAGCCTTTTGGAAGCACTTAGAGATGGCAATTAATGATTAAATTTGATTTAAATATTTTGTTGCCTTAAATGCTAGAATAAGAAAATACGGAATAAAATCGCACTTAGGCGAAGAAAGCGCAGGGAGCAGGGCTCTCAAATTCGTAGAATTATACGAGACAGAAGTAGTTCTTTGGAACATTATGCTCAAATGCTATAAGAACAAGGTAGAAGGATGGTAAAAAAAAAAAAAAAACTGATCCAAATGAACTATATACATGTCAAACCGTATCTAAGTGCACTTTGATCAACGCTACTTTGTCAAAGCAGACTTTGAGCATGTCAACACGGCTTTAAGCGGTCTTTAAGTTTGTCCTGAATTATAGTAAACTTGCTTGTGGTTCCTTCAATAAATACCTAAAACTTTCGGATAGAATGCTTACTTGAATTCGTTTAGAGGTTCGACTCGGGTTTCCCTTGCCCATAAAATAGCAGTGATGGTCGTCGTGAATTCAATATGAGATTGAATGGTGACTTTTCAATAAGCGTTCACCGGATAGAGACCGAGTTTGTAATAAATCATGCAGCGTCACATGTGAGGGATGACTAAACTCAACACTACTGTGGAACTTTGTTACAGCGTGTTGGCTTGATCGTTAGTAAATGTATTTCTACGTGATATATGAAAACTCGTTTCGTGTCATGATCGTCGATGGAATCATGAATCTTGTTGCTCCGAAATTCATTCGGCATAACACTTGGCATAATCTCTTTAAACAAATATTTGCAAGATATATTTTTTATTAAGTATCATTTATTAATTGGCCGATGTCCGAATTTACAAGAGCATAAACAAAAATGATAAACCTTCCTTTGATAAATCTTAAGTCAAATTAATATTTGGAGTCTGTGGTTTTGGCTTTTAAGTATTTACGGTGGTTTAATTTTTTGTTAAACAGTTTATTTTATAATTTTTTGTGGCTATAGTACTTGCATAAAAACCTGTCAGTGAAAAATCACCCCTATTTTCCCAGCTTTAGGGTGTTTATGTTTAAAATTTATCTGGGACCAATTTTGAGGTATATTAGCCAAAAAATAATAAAAATCAAAATTGGACTACTCTGTAAAAAAATATGCGTATTCATACATTAACATCAGTGAGTAAACAATCCATCATCCCCTGTTTTACTGACCTACGGAGTATACTCTTTCCAATAAAAAAATAATTAACAAAATCAGAATACTCTGTAAAAAGTTATGCGTGATCATACATATAAAAATATACGCGTCGAATTGATAACCTTCTCCGTTTTTTTTGTCGGTTCAAAATACTGTTTATTATACTGCAGTTTACTATAATATAAACATAACTTACGTACGTTCCTGTACGTTCCTTGTTTCATAATAGAACTACTAAGCCTATGCTCAGCAGTGGGTGTCATACAAATGAGGCTACCTCATTCACACCAAAGATATTTGAAGTAAAATTATCGTGTGTGATATTACTCAATAATATTTATTTCTTGTATTGTCTTAGGTTGTGATAGAAAAACGAGACCGCATGTCGCGCAACAACGTGCTCCACCTATGGCCATTCGTTATTCAGGACTTGCGCGCGCTCGGCGCTAAGAAGTTCTTTGGCAAATTTTGTGCAGGCTCCATCGATCATATCAGTATCAGGCAGTTGCAGTGCATCCTGATGAAGGTACGTCGAAAGCCTATTTTATACTTACTCTGGAACTACACGCGCTAAGCATCAAAAGAAGTTATTTGGCTTAATTGATCAAATTAGGTAGTTAGTTATGAAAGTATGGCTAATGCTCTTTGTATGCGCGCTGCGCGCTTGGTGGTACCAAGAAATTCTTCGGCAAATGCTGTGTAGTTTCTATTGATCGTCCTTATGAAGGTCTAATATGTCTAATGGGAAATACACATATTTATCATCCAAACCCATGGTTTGATGGATTACAACAATGCAAGCTATATATTGTGTGAGGATGCTCAATCTTTAACCCTTACCAAAAACAGAAAAGTACGAATGTTGAGTACAACGCCAGCCTTTATAGGAGCATACTGAAACTCAATTTGCGCTAATAACCGCTAGCGCAAATTGAGTTTCATTAAACTATGCAGTAAAGTTTGATACACACCGCAGCGCTTAACGTCACTCATCTCCTGTAGTTAGAAAAGTTTAAGAAAAGAATATTTGCCGCTCGAATCGGAGCGCCCGTCAGGGAATCGACCTCCACCTTACAGACAGTAATATAACAGTACCTTTTGGTAGTGTTGTTTACCGTTGGTGCTTCTCACCAACAGAATACAGTTCCAGGGCTCTGTGGGCTACGGTATTGAACGCTGTTTATCGTAAGAATCACAACATCACCAAAAGCTACTGTTTCAATGTGGTCTATTGAGGTTACTTGTCCAGATAGGCGCTCCAATTCGAGCGGGAAATCTACTATTGTACTAAATCTTTTGGTAGAGAATAAGGTATCAGGTTGAAGTTAAGTAGCGATATAAGTCGACGCTGTTTCTTTATAAAATCTGGCAAAAAAGCAACAAAATTAGCAATATGATTATTTCACGACAAATTAAACGAATTAACATCTGTTTTCTTAAACTTTGCCATCTGCTGCGAACATGTTTGTTTATATGTCTGCCCAGATACCATATTCATCGTCAACGTTAGTAAGGGAATTCCCAACATGCTAAGTTGTTATTGATTTTGTTGTTTGATTTTGCAGGTAGCGTTATTGTTGGGGGTAGAATTTCACGAAGGAGTCAGTTTCGAAGAGCTGCTGGAACCTACCGTCACGGAAAACTCTGAAAGTAAGAATTAACACGACCACCATTTCGTTAAAATAATGATTTTACTATCATACCTACGTCTTTATTTACCATGTTTAAAGTTCTTCCAAAATCAATGGTGTTTAAATTAAATTGAAATTGCGCTATCTAATGTTTTCCCCTCCAAATAATCGAAATAATGTAACCAAGTAACGTGAAGCTTCTTTTCTAAAATAACCTAACATTGGGCTATGCCTTATGCGTAGGGGAATATATATATATATATGTATATATCACCTATATATATATTGTCGCTTGTGACGCTCGTAGCGTTTCAGCCATCCCCGAGTTACCCTCCAACTTTCTCGTGCTTGTCGGAAAGAGCTGCATACGCATCCAACACACACACACACATATATATGTATATAGTCATAGGACGCTCGTGACGCATTTCCGTTTTATCGTTTCCATAGAACTTTTCCGTTTACACCACGTCCGAAAAGAAGTTTCACTTCAAAAACATTCGTATTCAAATATAAGTATTGCGACTGTTAGATTCCTTTATTGTATTGATTGTCTAGACTGCAGACATTCGAAGGCGGATATTGAAAAAAAAATTATTGGCGAAACTAGCTCCACTTTCTTAAATAGGCTCTGGACAAACTTGATTGCCAAATAATCTATATTGTAACTTTAGCGCGAGCTATACGTGATGGGGATTTGCATTGTTCACGCTTTGAGTGCAGGTGCCTCATATGGCCCATACGCAGTAGGTGCCGCTTATGGTTGTAACAGCTTCCTCGTTGGGCGTGTGACGTCACCGGGTCAATTACCTCGTCACAAAACGCACGCCATAATTATGATGGACCTAGGGCTGACACTTCACCCATGTGATCGTGACTACCTTATATTAATTTAAGACCTTGTTAACTACATAAAAATAATATGATATATAGACAGATATGCATCTGTTTTCTGTTATAATATAGATTCTGTTATAGATACCCTTGGAATATGTTTTGTATTATTTTAACTATCTACACATATAGTGCAGTTGGACTCTAGGAATGATGATACAGTTATCTTAATTTTGTATTATTTTAACTAACTACACTTATAGTGTGGTTGGTCTAAGAAGGATTATACAGATATATTAATACGGAAGAACGTTGCTCTCTTTTAAGCACATTTTGCGCATGGGGAATGGGAGGATTTATATATAAAAATGGTGGCAAACAAGCTTATGACCTGTCTGATGGTAAGCGGCCACCATAGCCTACAGACGCTTGCGATATAAAGACGAGGGCTTGCATAATGAAAGTTTATATGTATACAGAAAAAGCGCAAAAAGCAAATGTTTATCTGATAATGTAATACATTTAGGGAATACAAGGATCTCTATCCTATCTCTATATGAAATGAATCACAATTGATTCCACATTTAAACCGTAAAAGTGTTACAAACAGAGAAAATCACTAACGCAATTAAACTATTGTTGGGATTTTTATTAAAGATTAATGCAATAAAATTTCAAGTTATGAATATACAAAGGTGTTGCGGTAACCCTAACCTTCAGCGGCATAAAATTAAAGAACACTTTATTTGGACAGCAGTTAATTGTTATTGTTTCATTCAAACAACATTTTTAAAGATGCTTTTTACATGGGGTATTCTTGTATGTTGATAAGTTACTTATTATCAACATACTACAATATGAATAACTTAATCAGTCTCCATGCCTTTGTGTTCTTGAAAACACAGTTTATTTACCACACGTAGTAATGACATGGAAGATACCATCGTGGTTGTATTCATAGTTAAGCAGAATCATAATAGGGATAGAACTATGAAATAAATACTTCGGTTGCGTTTGATTGAAGTATGTCCAGGCATTATTTTTCTTTGAAAAGTACTCCTACAGCTGTACTACACAACGGAAGACGAATTTTAGCCAATCAAAATCTTCCTTAAAACAAATTGTAATTTGATAACTCGAAAATAACATGCCACAAAACTAACTAAAAAGTTAACAAATGCGAGTAGGCCGCCGGTCTGATCAACCATCTGAAATCTAAAAACTTTTCCAAGATTAGAACTTGTTTGAAAGATTGAACACCTTTTTTGGCTGTTTCAAAATCATCAGCTTTAAAATCTAAAACGACTTGCATTCAGATTAAGAATGAGAAACAGAAACTTTCCGAGCTTGTGCGGTGAAGTGGGTCGTCGCACCAGAGGCCCGCCCTCTTTTCGCTTCGGTGAAAACTTACAGTTTTTGCTCTCGGGCATTTATTACACATATAAACCTTCCTCTTTAATTACTCTCTCGTTGCTGAAAACTGTATTAAAATCCATCGCGTAGTTTAAAAGGTCTAAGGTCCTTATTATAGAAGGATACTCAGTAATTAATCTCGTCCTGAGCATAGTTAGAAAGGGATGTCGCTATATATAGCACTTAGCGACATCCCTTTCTAACTTTACCCAAGTGAAGATCAACAATAAGTTGTCATTCTTACATACACATTTCTTTTTTATTTAGTGCTTACTTTGGGGCTAGGCTAATTGGTGTGAGTGTTGGAAATATTTATTTATTTATTCTGTAATACGTTCCTAAGCGTACAGAGATAGCAGGAGCGACTTCGTTTTATACTAAGTAAAGATTTTATTTATTACCTTTGTCGTACAGCGTTAGGTTGGCGAGCGCGAGTAACCCCCACCTCACATCCCGTCGCTCAGTACGAATTTGACGTTCTAATGGGCGCGGACGGCAAGCGGAACACACTGCAAGGGTTCAAACGGAAGGAGTTTAGGGGCAAATTAGCTATGGCCATCACCGCCAACTTCATCAATCGACACTCCGAACAGGAGGCGTCGGTGAGTATAGTTTTTATGTAAATAAACGTCAGGGATACTGAAAATAGCTAAAACCCATTCAAAAAGTGTTTCATTGAATGTAGCAAACATCGGAAAGAATAAGTGTTATTGTTAATTTATTTTATCTTCTAGCGAGTACCCAAGACTACGACTATGTGGTTTTATTGATAAACATGCACCCCTCTTTTCACCCCTTAAAAAGATAATTTCTAGGATAAAAAAATCCTTGTCCTTTAGCGGGAGTCAAACTATAGATTTACCTAATTTCATCTAAATCGGTTCAGCGATTTAGGTGTAAAGAAGAAACAGACAGACAGACACACTTCAGTATTTATAATATTAGTGTGGATTCTATAAAAATCTAGCATTAAACTGCTAGATTTTTTTAACAAAAGAAGATGTCATACTTTTTATGTCAACTCCCTTACCTATTTGAGTAGGTAAGGCAATTTTTTTGAAGCACGTAGCTTTTTGCCCAGTCTACCGATTCCATCCATAAGAAAGGCCTGTGTGCCCCTGCGGTGAGGAAATTAATAGGCTGATGATGTTGTTCCTTTTTTGTTCAGGTCCCGGAAATCAGCGGCGTGGCGTTCATATTCAACCAGAAGTTCTTCAAAGAGTTGTACGAGGCGACCGGCATCGACCTCGAGAATATTGTGTATTACAAAGACGACACTCACTATTTCGTCATGACGGCTAAGAAACACAGCCTTTTAGATAAGGGGGTGCTGCTAAATGTAAGCCAAATCAAACCTATGTACAGTACCAGGTCATTTATATGTTGCATCGTGCTTTAGAGAGAGATACTCGGCTAGCTTCGGCTACCTTCGGCTTTGTAGAGCGTCATCTCTGTCACACGAAACACTATCAGTCCGGTATTTTATTTATTTAATAATCACTTACATCTATCATTACAGGTATAACCTAATACAATAGAGCAGTTCCGATACAACCAATTCTCTATTAAGAGCTGCTACAACTTTTAAAGTTTTTTTTTAGAAATAAAAAAAGAAGTAGGTAAAAGACAACATATATGATCTATGTATGTTAATTTATTTCATGAAAAACTAATTTTTATTTCCAACCAAATAACAAAATATAAAAAACTAATAGATATGCGAAGCCTCTCATAAAATAATTACTGCCATCATCATCCTTATTTCTTTTACGTTATATTTATATTTGTTTTATCAACTCTGTATATATATTTTAAGAAGGACGCGACTGCTCTTTAGCGACTTCGAACTACGACTGACAAGTCAGCGACTAAAGGTCAGGTTGACAAGGGTGACAGAGACTGCGCTATACAAAGCCGAAGCTAGCCGAGTATCTCTTTCTAAAGCTCGATGCGACTTATAAATGGCCGGGTACTGTTTCTACTTATTTATTAGAGAAAATCAACATTTAAAACTCTTTGAAGGATCCAACTTCACCATCAAGGGCGGATCCAGCTTTGGCGCCAGGGGGGGGGGGGGGGGGTCATCTAGTCGTGGTCAAGTCACAGTGGGTACAGATTGGAAGTACAGATTGTGAAGTGGGTACAGATGGACCCAGCCCAGGGGGGGGGGTCATGACCTCCATGACCCCCCCTCTGGATCCGCCCTTGTTCAGCATCCATTATTTTGAACTAAAAATAATTTTGAATTAAAAATTAAAGTGTATTAGGATCCATGATGGAGACATTGCAATCGATCAAACTGGATGTAGGGCAAATCAATGCTTGAACTTCAGCTGAAATTTTCTGTTTTTTGAGTAATACAATGCTTGCATGCTTTAGCTGTGTTCGATGAGAATAATATTGTGATGTTATCCAGCCTTAGTTATCGTAATCATGTAAATAGGTATTATGATTGTGATGTATAAACGTTTAAAGGTTTCTATGTTTGTTATATAAACACGTAAAAATACTGAATGAGTAAGAATATGATGATATGATTATGATATAAGACCAGTGTTCCCGTTTTTAAGGATTATTTTAGTCAAATTAGAATTGAATTAAATAAAGTACTAATAGGCAAAGTCGCATGCTTGGTTTAGTTTATTTTCTATATATTTGCCTCGACTGAAGTGTCCACATCTTTTCACAGGATTTCGCCGAAGTGTCCCGGTTGCTTCACGTGGAAAACGTAGATCGTTGCGCATTAATGCGATACGCTCAAGAAGCGGCGCGATTCTCTACTGGTGGCCGTTTGCCATTACGAGACTTTGCACTGAACCACTACGGCGAACCGGACGTAGCGCTATTCGATTTCACATCTATGTACGCAGCGGAAAACGCCAGTTTGGTAAGAACGACAAGTAGAGAACGTAAATAGGTGAACATAAGAGAGGTAGGGCATATCGGATTTCCCGCTCGAATTGGACCGCCCTTCTGGGGAAGTAACCGTACAGAAGACCACAATAAAATAACACTACCCTTTGGTGGTGTTATGTTTCTGACGGTGAGTAAGGCTCCACAGGGTAGAGGCTGACTGACCCAATGTCGGGGTTGGCAACGGCGCGAGTCATATTTTTTGTATCGCAAGCGTCTTTAGGCTAAGGTGGCTGTAAGCTTGATTGCCACCCCTTTTAACATAAAAAAGGTGCTATTGAGAAATTTTCACTCAGTCACTACGCCGAGCCCGACGTTGCGCTGTTCGACTTCACCATGATTGATGCCGCGGAGAACTTATTGATGAAAACGAGCTGAGCGGGTACCGACTTTTCGGTCAATGGCAGAAGTAACGAAAGGCTGTGGTATTTGGCATGACGCAGTTTCCCATCCTTGTATTATGTAAGCGATTTTTTTGTTACATAGAAGACCAACAGCTTATCCTAATAAACTAGAAATGAATAGTAGCGACAAAGAGCCAATTACAGGTTCTCACATCTAGACATAACTTAAAGTTAAAAAAAACTATTTGCACTGTCCAATGCAAAAAAAAACTCTTAAATAGTTTTATAAATGAGGTCTTTATGATAAATAGCAGAATAACAAATTACGCACCTGGTAATTCCAATCTCCAAAAACAAACGAGCAATTATATATCTAATCGACGCTTCGCTAGTGTTAAAAAGATCTAAATTTACCTGTTTTGATAGTGAATTGAAGCTGCTTATTGCTCGACAAAGAAAAGCGTCCTGCCAATAATTTGTAGAAGTAGGGGGGATACTTAAAATTGGATTAATCCTAAGGGGTTTGGGGGAACTCCAAACAAGATCTTTGATAGGAGTTCCGTGCAGTCGACTGCCCCAGAAGCGATACTACTGAGGAAAACTAAATCTGCAATTTCGTGACACATCTCTAAAGAGAGAAGATGATGCTTTTTGCAAAGTTCCCCGTACCGACCTGAATCATATCCTTTCTTAGTACGAAAGCACAGATATCTTTTAAACATCCTCTGGATGCTTTCAATGCGAGATATATAGGTTGAATATCTAGGGTTCCAGACCTGAGATGCGTACTCCAGATGACTTCTAACAAAGGTACAATATAAAATCTTGAGTGCCTTGGCCTGACTAAAATCTTTGTAGTTGCGCAAAATAAATCCGAGGGACTTAGAGCTTTTCGCGATCACCTTATTGATATGCGTATCAAAGAGGAGCTTCGTATCGTGAAGTATACCAAGGACTCTAACAGCTATTTTACGTTTTAATTGAGATTGTTTTAGTTTGTAGTCAAACAATACCATATTTCGTTTCCGACTATGTTCTCCGCGAAAGACCTCTTAAAAATTATAGAAATTGGAATTACAATTTGGAATTTGGATTGGTTTTCGCGCAGTTAACAAGAAGGAGAGCAGGTAAAGAATCCGGACCAGCAGACGGGTCAAGTTTTAAAAGGAGTTTTGTAATTTCGTCTATATTATATATATATTATAAAGAAAGTACTCCTTTCGTGAACAAAGTATAGTTAGTTTGAGATCCATATCAGCACATTCATATTCCGACGCCACTGCTTGGGTACAGCTTTCCTTATTGCTGGAATAGGGAGAAATGGCCCAGGCCCCACCATGCGGGCCCTGTGCAGAATGGTGCTAACGACTTGTAGTTGCAGTCGGGACCAATAGCTTAACATGCCTTCCGTAGCTCAAGATAATATTTTTTTTGATAACCCTTCCTGTATGACAGAATATAGTGAAAGTAGCCGAATTTCCACGATTGCTGGCCGAGCGTGCTTACTATAATGCTTTCGAGCTCCTATTGTGGTCTGGTATAGTTTGCGGAAGCCGTTCTGGTCATAGAATCTGGTTTGAGATCGTAACTATAAGTCCTCCTCCTAACTCGTCATCTCGCAGTTATAGGTCTCTGCTTAGCTATGCGAGTGTTTCAATCACTGACTGCTATGCCAGCTTGCGGGCGACTGTTTACTGGAAACGATCTGTCCGTAGAGTCTTTAACTGCTATCTGACCTCTGTTAAGCTGCTAGGTACTAACGGCCCGTTGAATCGGTTGCAGCCCGTGCTGAGTATTCCTACGGCGCGTGACACATACGATTTACAAACAAAATAAATAAGCGAGACAATAACAGGGCGCATCCTCCGCAGGCTTTATATTATCAATCTTCTTCTTTCTGGTCAGGTACGAGAGCGTTTCGGTCGCCGCCTCCTATGCCAGTTGGTGGGCGACAGTCTACTGGAGCCGTTTTGGCCGACGGGCTCGGGATGCGCTCGGGGCTTCCTCTCCGCGTTGGATGCGGCGTGGGCGGTCAGAGCGTGGGGACACACCCCTCCCCCTCACCCCTTGCATGTGGTGGCGGAACGGGAGTCTGTCTACAGGCTGCTGGGTGAGTGTCCGAGATAGCTTCTGCTCAGTTTAGAGCGCTTCGGTCGCTGCCTCCTATGCCAGTTGGTGGGCGACAGTCTACTGGATCCGTTCTCGCCGACGGGCTCGGGGTGCGCTGGGGGCTTCCTCTCCGCGTTCCCCTCACCCCTCACCGCTTACAGGTGGTGGCGGAAAGGAAGTTTGTCTACAGGCTGCTCGGTGAGTGTCCACTATAGCTTTTATACCTAAGACTTAAAAATATATATTTTATTATCACAATTAATCAATTGTTACCGGTTTTAAAAAAATAAAAGCTGAAAAAACATTATGATATTTACTGGTGTGTCCTAGGATGGCGGCGTTGGATCCGAAATACTAATAATATTTACCTAGTTTGGTGACAGATGCGCTATATTTAAGATAAATGTACTTATTATTATTTACCAAATAGTGTCTGTCCTACAAATGAAAATAAATTATTATTATAATATTATTACTATTGTGCATGATGTGTTTGTTATTATACATGTTTCAGTTTTATAATGAGTATATTTCAACTAAATGCAACCTGATGGTGTGGAAATTCAAATTCCAGCACGATTTGCTAATCAAATGAGGATCTTAGGAGAGTGTATAGACTATGCTTTTGCAAAATCTCATACTAATACAAACGAAATTGAAATAATATGGCATACAAACTGCGCTAAAAAGTGGTGTCACGCTTACTGCGATCAAGTGGGCGGGGCGAAGAAACTGAAATGAACACGCCAATCATGGGATTGGTTAGGATTTCCGTTTAAGAATATCTTACCCAGTGAATGGAATTTGTATTTGTTTGTGTGAATATAGACAAAACATGTATTTTGTTTTGTCTGACTGCCTGTCGCGTTAGTATTTTAGTTGAATGAGTTTCAAATCATGTTGTAGCAGTCAGATAAAGAGTAATGCTTCCACATCATTTCTCTTTCTTAGCATCCTACTCCATAAGAAATGTTGTACGACAGTCCCCCGTTAATTACTTGTCAATATGATAATATAGCTACTTTCTCAAGTTGTCCTTATGATCGTCTGATACGTTGCCGCAGCTCAAACGACCCCCGAGAATCTGCACCGTGACTTCGGCGCCTACACACTGGACCCGGGTACGCGGTACCCGAACCTGAACCGAACGGCGGTTGCGCCTCACCGCGTCACTTCGTTCTATGATTCGGACGAACCGCTACCACTGGACGCCACGCCTGCCGCCAAGAAACGACGACGAGGTGAGCCCTTATATATAGACACTTATCTTGATAACCGCGTCACCTCCTTCTATGATTCGGACGAACCGCTACCGCTGGAGCCACGCCCGCTGCCAAGAAACTACGACTAGGTGAGCCCTTATACATAGACACTTAACTTGATAACCTCGTCACCTCCTTCTATGATTCGGAAGAACCGCTACCACTGGACGCTACGCCCGCCGCCAAGAAACGACGACGAGGTGAGCCCGTATACAAAGACAGTTATCTTGATAACCGCGTCACCTGGTTCTTTGATTCGGACGAACTGCTACCGCTGGACGCCACGCCTGCTGCCAAGAAATGACGACGAGGTGAGCCGACTTTTTTTTTTCTTTTATTTTGGCAACAAAACAGTCATATATTTTACAAAAGTAACTTATGTTAAACATTTTTTTATGAACACAATATTAAAACAGTTCTGAAGTTAGGACATGGTCAGCTAATGAAAATCCAAAATTAAACTATTACAGTACACTAATGTATGACGAAATATTTATATCATATGCATATATACATAGGTACGCACTTTATTTTTATTTCAAGCCTCTCCTGAAAGTTTTACATTAAGTTTACTTTTAAATGTAGCAAGAGACATATTAAAGAGATCAAATTCAGAGAATTCCTCGTTGTACGTGTTGGTGGAACGATAAAAGAATAAATGAATGTTTCTCGTATATATTTTTTGACGTTTCGGTGGAACAAACAGCGGTAGTGTACGTGAGGAGCGCATGGGATGTCGAACTCGACATGGAAATCGAATATTTTCAAGGAGTGCCGACGAATCTATAAGCGAGTTCAGTATTTTATAAAGAAAAGTAATGTCACAGATTACGCATTACGCAGTGTGGTCATCTTATAGACTTCTAAGGTTTTTTCGTATGTATTATTTACAAAATTATTACGATAATTTAGAGATCTTAAGAACTTTTTTTGAACTCTTTCAAGTCTGTTGATGTGGACATTATAACAGGGGTTCCAAACAGTGCTACCAAACTCAAGAACAGAGCGAACAAAGGCAAAATACAGGGTTATGAGTGTTTTTGTATTTCTAAATGGTTTACTTACTCTAAGAATGAAGCCCAATCTCTTATATGCAGCGGCCACAATGCAATCAATGTGATAATTAAAGGATAACTTTGAGTCCATCATTATTCCTAAATCTTTTATACGGTCCATCCTTTTCAGAGGTTTTGCCATTTATATAATAATTAAAATTAATTTGGTTCTTCTTACGAATGTAAGATATAACGTAGCATTTGTCAATGTTTAGAAATAATTGGTTATTTGTGCAGTATTTACTTAAAGATTTCAGGTCTGCTTGCAATTTAATAGCATCATCTTCAGATTCCACAATCCTAAATATTTTAGTATCGTCTGCATAAAGTAGATGATGACTGTGGTTAAAGACGTGGCCAATGTCATTTATATAAAAGGAAAATAGCGGAGGGCCTATATGTGAGCCCTGTGGAATGCCTGGTGGTATTGGGAGGAACTGTGACGAGAGTCCCTTGATGCAAACTGACTGGCTTCGATTCTGAATGTAGGACTGTATCCATCTTAGTAGATTACCATGTATGCCGGCTGCTAAAAGCTTATTAATAAGAGTATTATGATTAATTTTATCGAACGCCTTCGAAAAGTCAGTATACACTACGTCCACTTGAAGATTTTTATCCATAGCCTGTGCAAGGTAATCTGTAAAAGTTACCATGTTACTATCAACGCTCTGCAGCCTGTAAAAGCCATGCTGATGGGGGGAGATAAAGCTGCGGGCCGCCTGGGCAATACCTTCAATTACGATTTTCTCTAAAATTTTACCTAAGATACATAGTTTAGAGATGGGCCGATATTCAGTTACAATATCTTTATTATTATTCTTTGGGATTGGGGTCACCAAAGCAGACTTCCATTTAGTAGGAAAGACACCAGTCTCCAAAGATGTTTTATAAATTATAGTCAGAGGTTTGGTGAGTTCTCTAGCGCAGCGACGTATGAAAATTGGGTGAATATTGTCAGAACCAGCACCTTTGTTTATGTTTAATTGATTTAGTTCTGTAAATACAGGAGATGAATTGACTTCAACTGAGTTAATATCAAGATTTGTCTGAACGCTATAACTACAATCATGTATTGGTTGGCAAGGGTTGGAGGTAATAAAAACAGAGTAACAATACTGATAAAATGCCTCGCATATCTCAGTGCCAGTAGAGAGTAACTTATCATTGTACCACATTTTAGATGGAATATCACCCGTGGCCTTTTTTGACTTGACGAATAACAAGGAATAACTTAGGATCTGTATTAATATTTTTTTCTGAGAATTCTATGTATTGGTTATGACAGCATTCATTCATCTTCTTAAAGCGAGCCCTTACTTTGGAAAAAATGAGATAATCATAATGATTGCCATATTTTTTATGGAATTTGGCTTTTTCCTTGCTTAATTTAATAAGAGGAACAGTAAACCAAGGGGGGTATTTTTGCTTTAAATTTAATTTTGCTTTAAATTTTTTTATGTTTACTGATTAAATTGTCAATAAAATTATAAAAATGGCTTACCATATTATCCACGTTAATCAAACTATTTAAAGTATCCTCCCAGTCAACAGATTCCAAGTCTAATCTTTAATTTAATAAAATCGAAGTCGGCTTTATGGAACTGTAATTTAATATTTTTTGAGAAATTAAACTGTGAATTAAATTGTAACAGGGCAGAAATGTTCATAAAATCTGCTGTGAGACAGGCTAAGTTATTATTATTTGTGAATAAATCCATAGAATTATTATTTTTTTAACCAATGGGCGTAAGATACATTGAAGTCCCCTAATACCAAAAATACGTCATCTGGATTATGAATGATGAATTCGCTCACTCTGTCATAGAAAGTACTTAACAATGACTCGTGATTAGCACTGTGTGCTATATAAGTGCAGATTATATGCAATTGACGTGAAGCGATCGAGGCGGACGGGGCATCCGTGTGCAGTGGCACTGAGAGCCATACCTCTTCGGCTGGCGGAGCCGCACGCACGTCCGCCCGATGTGTCGGGCGCAACTTACGATCCACAGCTATTACTACGCCGCCACCTCTGTCACAGTTATTAGCTGCAACACTAAGGTCGCATCTAAATACTTCATAGCGGGCATCAAAGTATTCGGAACTATAAAAGTTTTTATTAAGCCAAGACTCCGTGACGCAGACAATATCATAATTATTATTTAGTACAGCTTGCAGAAAAGAATGTGACTTTGTGCGTAAACCCCTCACGTTCTGATAATAAATAGATTTTTTTTAATACAATTACTCCATAGGCGTATGCCCATGCCATTATTTAGTTTGACTTTTTTTTTAAGTTTTGTTATATACATTTGTTTGTGCACTCAGTGCGGCCTTTTATATTTTATCATGCAAACATGCGGCATGCTCACTTATGTCTACTTAACTAATATAATTTGGTTGGACATATTGTCCATCCCCTTTTCAATGAATATTCTATTATATGTATACGCTTTTTTTTTTAATTTTTTTTTCACTTATTATCTATTGTACATGCTTTGTGGAACAAAAGGATTTTCAGTTTATTCTATTTGTGTACCTTGTGTTATGTTTTTGCGGTCTCGGGCTCCTGCGTGAGTTCCCTCTCCTTCTCATCGCACGCAAGGGCCCGAGTTTCGCTATCTTTTTGGTAATTATTTAAATTTATTTGTTTCTATGGTACAACATTTACTGCTATGTTTTGCTAAATAATATGTAGGTACAGTTTTACTTAAGTCTACTTGTTTCCTTAATCTATGTTAGTACATGTTTGTGTTATTTCCTTATGGTAAAAATATGTCATTTCCGGTGTGGGGAGGTCGGTCCAGATTTTGCTGTTTCAGACTTCAGTCAAATTTCTCATTATATTTACAGTGTCATAATCTCTCATACGTATCGCACTTTTGGTGTTATAACGGATTATTGTCTCCGTGGCCGCGCCTGTCGTTCGCTTTATGAAGCGGCTTACTGCGTCGTCGTTGTCGTCTGTGTAGTAGCAACAGCTGTGTGTATGTCGAGACACAGCTACCACGGCGTGCGGGATGCTGTCGTGCAGTTTCGTTCGAATCCCCTTGGTTCTTATGATGCAGGTGTTCTTGCATGTTTGTCCCTGGGCTTCGTGTATGGTAAGGATCTTGGATTCAGTCCCACTTCCATAGCCTTTGGCGCTCAAGGTTCCCTTCTCCTCTTGTGTATGTACTAGATACAGTGTATCTGGGAGAAGGGGTGGGATATTTGCCCCGGTATATCCTGTTAGATGGAGCGACCGGATCCGGGGTCTGTCGGAATATATCCCGTCATACACAGCGCTCAAGGCAAACGCGACATCCAGGGGGTTTCTCCTGGTGCAGAGCAGCTCTCGCGTGATATTTGCCACAACATGCGGGGTCTCGTACCTCAGACGGAACAGGTTTTCTCTGTCAATGTAGGGCAGCTGATTTATGTCGCCCAGAAGTACGACCCTCCGTGCTCCTGTTATGCGGGTGATGAGGACTAAGGAGCCAAGGTGGTTCATGAGAGCCTCGTCAAGTATGAGACGGTTGTAGCTCTCTTTTGATCCATTTACCTGGAGGGATGCCATCGTCTTTACCTGTCTTGCAAAGTGGTTTCCCCACTTTGCCGATATCCTCCCTCTCAGGTCCCCGGCTGCCTCAGTCGTGGTCGTTATTATTAGGTCGCTCTTCGGGTCGAAGTTTTCTACCGCCCATGTTGACTTCCCACACCCCGGGACCCCGTTGACCCATTCGATTTCGGGCACAGTCCATGACTCCGTCCCTGAGCTCAATACTGTGTCCGCCATCTTCAGGATTTTGTCGTCCAGCATCACTTTTGTGAATTTGGCTGTGACGACAATGGGGTCATGATGCTTGATATTAAACTTCAGTTCCGTTCCGTTGTGGTCTCTGAGCGCTTCGACAAAACCCTCTGTCCCGCTGAAAGCCG